GGGGGGGGGGGGGGGGGGGGGGACAGGGGCACGCTTTGTGCGTCCGACACGCGTCTAAAGTTGCATGATTTGTCGCGCATTTATTTTTTCCTACAGAGACTTTTTCAATACATTCATGCAATGCTCTTTTACCGACTAATGTACATGTATCACCCTACATTTCAGGGGGCCCTCTCAAGTATTTCCACGCAAACTACACAACGTACCTTTTCCTTCTGAAGGAGATCTATTCTTTCTTTCAAAGCCGCATTGGACTCATTCAGCGCACCAATTTTCTGAGAAAAGATTGACACGTCAATGTGAGATAAGATCAATTACCATTGGATAATTTTTCTTCCTTTTCATTGGCCGAGAGCCCACCACGTGACCCGCAAATAAGTGCCTACAAGTAATGGTCTGCTCATGCGTAGTACCGTCTAAATGTGTTTTGCTGCAAATAATATTCTGCTCATGCGTAATAATAACCAAGCTCTTGTGTGAACAGTGGCAGATCGCCTCCCTGAGCTGTCAGAGAGTGATCTAAAATATGAAAACAAACTTGGTGATCGAATAAAACAGTTATTGAACTCGGTTATTGCAAAATATCGTTATTTGTCAGTGTCTCGCAGATCATTTACTTGCCTCAGCCTTCGGCGTCGGCAAATAATCGATCTGCTCGCAACTGATAAATCACGATATTTTGCTAAACCTCGATCAAAAATATTATCAATTGCCGACTGTACATTCGCTTTCACTCCCTATTTTCAATAGCGCGAGAAGAAAGCGAAGCAGATTTCTGTGAAGGGTAAAAAAAAATAATGTTAATAAATTAAAAAGATCAGTGTAGCTCTATCACCTTCTCTGCCTGTTTTAATTGTTCTATCTTCTGCTGAAGTAGCTCGAAATCCTCCTTAGATGATGAATCTTTACTCTGCTAAAATTGAACAAATTGCCAATGATTTATTTCTATAACTAACGTATTTATTCTGTTAGAGTACAATGAATAAATAACAACACCAAACAAGTATCGAATCTTAACAAGTGTGCCTAACCACAAATAACTCGCCACAATTCCGTGCTCTATCTTAATAGATACTGGCTAACAAGAAAACGGAAAGATTCCTAAAATTCTGTAGCAATCACCTGCTATGTTTTCTGGCACAACAAAAGTAAGTTCAGTCATCCACAAATGAAAAACAAGTTCCAGACTTTTAGCTCAACGAAGAAATAGAATAATATTGTTATCCCATAGAAGTACGACGAAAACTTCCAAGCAAAGAAAAACAACAAGTGAAGCAAAATCATAACTAACTTCGGTTACCTGTGTTTCCACAATTCATCTTTGTGGAAAGTATGCAAAAGAACCCCAGTTAACAAAACCTCTACTAAGTGCCCGTGGAAACATGTGGCTAAACATTACACCTGCTATGGCTAGGCCATAAAGCCAAAGATTCCAGAACAAATCTCATACAAAACTCTCGTTTACGACAAATTTTCGAACAGGAGTCCCCGATTCTTAATAGCCAATCACAATCTAGCACGAGCAGTATTCCGAAGTCGCTACGTCAGCATGGCACCACAGCGCCTAGCAACAACTCTAACGAAAGTCACGGGCTCGGTCGTTTTGAAGTACCGTTTCGAAATATGTCCGATTGAGCAAAAGCACGGTCACATAGAGCTAAGTCCTTCACATTTAACATACTTAAGTTATTACCCAGTCAGAAGATAAAAGAAGTCTCACCGCAGCATTCCCCTACAGGCTTTAGAAACGTCACACAACATAGTTATAATCAGCAAGCGACGTTATTTTGTCCCCAACACAAAACAGCCTTAAGTGATTCAATGAACTCAGTTGGCAAAGGTTAATAGACTTACTGCTGATTCCTCCAAACTTCGGATTTTTTCTTTAAGTGTAGCATTTTCTTCTTTCAGTTTCTGAATGTTCTACAAGAAATAATAAATGAACAAGGCCGCTATGAAAATCAAGAGAAATAAGGGAAAAGAAATTTTCTATGACTAGTTTACCCAGCTGATGAATGTCTAGGTTTCATTATATTTATTATATTTTCATTGGCGGAATAGGCGCAGTTTCTAAAGATATAAATTAAAATAGAAACAAATAAACCAGGAAATATATATACTCACACTTGAGCTGAATAAATTTTCAATCTTCTCTCTCAACAATGCATTCTCGTTTTCCAGTTCTTTCATATTCTAAAGAAACAATAACACAGTGAATTTTGAACAACTTTTACCACCAGCAAAACACTGAGTTTGTGCAAGCGACAATACTGTTTTCTTTATTATTTCTTCTTCTTAAAGTTGACAACTCGTCGACAAACAACGAGGAAAACGAGAAACCACAAAGTTTACGTCACTTACAGTTGTTGACTCTTCCAGCAATTGGATGTTTTCTTTCAACATGGAATTTTCTTCTTCGAGTTTTTCAACAACCTGCGAGATTAAAACAGACAGGATTTAACTTTCGTAAACTAACTAAAGAACTATCGATTACTTTCATCCAATTAGAAATATTACAACTTCTTGAATGCCAAGTCCGATTGCCGCTACAAGATCACATCACTGCTTCCTGCTTGACAGCCTGCCCGGTTAAGGGAAAAGATAATTAAACGTAATTTTCATGTTCTATATCAAAATTGACAAATTCTCCCTATCCTCAACCTTGGCTGACCTGCGCAATATACCTTTTTCTACGTTCCAGCATATACAGAAATCTTAAACAATACCGGGCAAATAAGTAACACTAGAAAGTACAAAGTTTGCTACCAAAACCACAGTCTAACCAATACATACCCGTGCTGTGGATCCTTCCAGATCTTGGATCTTCTCTATGAGTTGCTCGTGTTCAAGTTGTTCTTCCGCCTAACAAACAACGAGACAAGATATTGAGATCAGTTCCTCTCTATTTGTTCAATTGAAAGAAAAAAAAGCAGAGAAGTCAATAAATTAAATCATCTTTCTTTGCAAATGTTAACAGCTGACTTATGGAGTGTTGGCCCGTTGTCAGGTCAATCCAAGAAATTGAGGGCTGAAACTGTCCTCTATCCCAAAATTCTCTAACAATTTTAGGCTGGTAGTTAAGATCATCCAACAAATTACCGAAGATTCTTGCAGAATGTTCACTTTTTCCTTCAGCATTCCATTTTCATCTTCCAGCTCCTTCACTCTCTAAAAAATGGACAACAAAGAAAAGTTTGAGAATGTCACCTCTCTAGTCACATACCTCTCGTTTTTAATGTGTAACAACAAAGGCGACCTAAATGACGATAAACCTTAAATTTGAAAGAATCACACACCCCAGTTTCTTCCATAATTTCGATTTGCTCTTTCAGCAATGCATTTTCATTGACCAGGTCTTCCACATTCTGAAATGAAATAAAGATAACGTTTCAAGAGCGGCATATGAAAATGCTATCGTTTCTTGCTAAATTACCCTTTGCTACAGAAATATTAATCAAGAAATATCAGGGTTGAAACGGTAGTTTATCATAATATGAATACATGTCCTGTTTTTTAGTTAGTTTACTGGTTACTCAGCCATAACTTGCTTCCTGAAATTGGAAGTTTATGTCAAAAACTGTTTATGAATAGAACTGTGATTTGTAAGTTAAATTACGGGAAGAAACGAAGTCAACGAAGAAAGTAGTCAATGAGCCGAGAAGAGGAAAGAATGTAAAATACCGTCGATTCCTCCAGGATCTGAACTTTTTCCTTGAGTAATTCGTTTTCATCTTCCAGTTCTTTAACCTTCTATAAATTCAAGAACAGAATGTCAGTTAAAAGTCATTTCCCTGGCGAAATCCTCTTATTCTTTTATAGAAGCAATAACAAAAGCTATCTGAATGAAATAAGCACAAGGCGCTCCTTCAGCCTAAACAATTTTAAGGAGTTTAAGGAAACCACAACGGCAACCGCAACGGGAACGTCGCTAAACGAAAGGCTTAATGAGCAATACAATAGCTGTGCACGTGCGTTATAAATCTTTGCACATTTCTCAGTTTGCCGTCTTCGGCAAAACAACGACGTGTAATGACCAAATTCTGCGTTGTCTGGAGAACGTAACCACGACGGATAATGTTTGAAATTTATATTTCGAATTTTATACTGTGTTTTATATTCAGTTTCGAGATAGCTTTGACAAAGAGAAACAAACTAGATGACTTTAGGGTAGGTAAAATATAAATTCATTTTTTAATCGACGTTGTCCTCAAGTCGCTGTCGTAGTTTCTCGAACTCCCGAATAAAGAAGAGGGGCTCACATACTGCGGTTTCTTCCATAATCTCGATTTGTTCCTTGAGCAACGCGTTTTCACTGACAAGGTCTTCTACATTCTGTAAGGGAGACAACAAACTCAGCAACGAAAGCAACGAACACTGAGCAACTGATGCAAATTCACAGTGATAAACCAAACAATGCAAGAACGGACTTTAAATCAACTTCCACATCAGCTGTACAGTTAACTAAGTACTATTTTAGACCTACTCGTCAAATATATGAAACAAAGACAGTTCGACATTCATCAAGACTAACCCTCGAAGATTCTTCCAGGACCTGCACTTTCTCTTTCAGCAGTTCGTTTTCGTCTTCAAGTTCCTTTACTCTCTACACATAAACACATCAAAGGGGGGAAGAGGTTAAGAAATTATTGCTTAAAACAACAAAAGCAACTGCAAAAAAGAAATCATTACATACCTCGTTTTCCTCCAAAACTTCAATTTGCTTTTTCAATTGTACGTTTTCATCGATAACCACATTCTTAAAGAAAAGAAAAAGAGAATAACCTTAACAAATGGGTACGACGAAAAGCCGTGAATTATGAATTTTCAATTTATTAAACAGGGAAACAGGAGAGTGGAAATCACAATCGACTTGCTACCTTGTGTGAACTAGTTCCCCAAGTTACCTTGGTGAGTCTACTAGCTGGGGGCTGTGTGACGCAGGTGTAAGGCAGGTGTGAGGTACGAGAAGGATAAGAATCGACAATGCACTAGTGCTGCAAAACCTTCCACGCCCAAAACTGATCAAGATCGGATTTCCCCTTACAACACCAGTGTGAAAGTCAAGCCGAAGGTGAGGAGAATAAAGAAAATCATCAACTCCGGACATAACTAACGTAAAAGAATCGCACAGAACTCTGTTGGCAGAGTTAATATTGTGCGCTACTCACTGCGGACGCCTCTAAAGCCTGGATTTTTTCTCGTAGAGTATCGTTCTCTTCCTCTAGTTCTTTCACTCGCTGGAAAAGAAAACGTACAAACTCTTTAGCTTAGTTACGGGGTAGAGAAAGGTAGTTTAACTGACAAATACTGTTTCTTGTTAGCACAACGTACATGAGACTTCATTACAATGTCAAGAAAGTGCTTTACGCGGTTTACCTCATGTTCAGCTGCCAGCATCGCCACTTGTTGTTTTAGATAATCATTCTCCTTTTCCAGCTCTTCAGCATTCTGACAAGAGATAGAACATTGACTGATCTAAAAGTAGTCAATTTAATTCCAACCAAAAAATAGTCCCCCCGCTATTTGTAACTGACCGGGGAGACGAAAAACAGTTCGAAATGGAGAGAATGACTGAGGGAAAATTCAAGGTGAATGGTTTTGAGTTTGAAATAACAAGGAATTTCAAATAACCGAGTTCGAATCAGCAGGGTCCATCTGTACTTTGGACAGGACCTCAAGGGGAAATAGAGTTTGTAGCTATATCCAAATTTCAATCAGTTTTCATTTACCGAAGACTCCTCCAGCGTCTTTAGTTTCTCTCTAAGCTCTTCATTCTCCTGTTCGGTTTTCTTCATATCCAGCTCAGAAACCTAAGCGGGCAACAAAAATTAAAATGCACTTAAAATATCATTTGCTAACGTCATTTGATTAAAAAGTAATATATCGATAAAAACTAATCTTTGTAAATTCCATCAACTACTCAAATTTTGCGCGCATAGAAGTGAACTTTCCAAGTAACACGCACGTACCTCCGCCATTTCTTCAAGAGTTTTAACTTTTTCTCTTAGCTCATCGTTCTCTTCTTCTCTGATTTTCTTAATGTCCTGCTCAGAGGTCTAAAAGACAAAACGATAAATAAATAAATCACAATATTTAGAGAGCAAGACGCGTCAGCCTTAGCTGGTTTTCATGCAGGAGAAAAACCCTCGAAGCAAGGCGAGAAACAACAACAAACTCAACCCACATATGGCACCGGGCCGAAATCGAATCCGGGCTGCACTGGGGGAGGCGAGTACTCTCACTGCTGCGCGATCCCTGCTCCCCCGATAACTGCTCACCAAACAACAATAACAACACACGAAAAAGGACAAGGACCATTTGCACTTACCGCCACTTCTTCAAGATTTTTAACTTTTTCCCTTAGCTCATCGTTCTCTTCTTCTATTTTCTTAATATCCTGCTCAGAGATCTGAAAAACAAAACGATACTAAACATCAAGTTACAATAACGTAGCAATTCTGAAAAACAAACAATAGCTTACACAGTGACTATTCTCTGGGACAATATCCCCATTCACCTAAAAGATCTCAATGCCTTCAACTTTTCTAAACAACTGAAATTTTATCTACTGTCTGAACAACATCATGACAACTTGTAATGATTTTCTCCATTCTATTATACCATGTACACATCTCTTCTCTTAACAGTTCTGTATTCTGTCAATATCTATAGAAACCTCACAATAACTGGAGACTGACTAGAAAACTTTCGGGTTACCTCAATCTCCAGATTCAAATGAACATTACTTTTCTGTCCCCCTATTTATATATATTTTTGTAAAACTGGATAAAGTTGTTGTCGTTGTCGTTGTATAACAACACACCAAAAGAGCAAGGATCATTTTTACTTACCGCCAGTTCTTCAAGATTCTTAACTTTTTCTCTCAGCTCATCGTTCTCTTCTTCTATTTTTTTAATATCCTGCTCAGAGGTCTGAAAACAAAACGAAACTACACATTAAGTTACAATAACAACACACCAAAAAGAACAAGGACCATTTGTACTTACCGCCAATTCTTCAAGCATTTTGAATTTGTCTTTCAGCAGCATGTTTTCCTCCTCTATATCTTCCACGGGCTATGAAAAATTGTAAAACACACAAAATTAAGTAGCTGTCACTGTGAAGAGCGGGGAGAGCAAAGGGGGAGAGTGGAAGAAAACGAAGTGGATTACCGTTGATTGTCTCAAAATATCGATTTCCTCTTTAAGCAACTGGTTCTCTTCTTCCAAATCTTTCACGGACTGAAAAAGTAAAGTACAAATATACAACGTAGAACAATAGTCTTTTTAGTAGTTTTGCGGTCAGAATTAGTCTTTATTCCTTTTACTGTTAGACTACCAGCAGTCTCTCTTTTTCTCGAAGATCTCCGAGGGAAAAACGCAAACGAACGAGCAGAGCACAACTCGCTGCTCGGGGCTTCGCCGCTCCCCTCCGTTCGCTCGTTTGTGTTCTTCCCTCGCGGATCTTCGAGCAAAAGAGAGACTGTTCACAGTCTATTTTACTGTTGACTCGGCCATGGTGTTGGGCAAATTGAGAAAACAGTTTGTTGTTACTTCTTACTTGTCTACTTAGTGCCAATTCCCGCATACGGCTTGAGCTCTTTTCAATTATAGAACTAGCAGTAGCTACGAAAAAACACTGTCATTTGTATTCTTTTTGAGCCCTGATGAGTCTAGCAATTAAATGAAAGAGGAATTGTGACATAACAGTGACCACTTCGCTACCTCGACTTTCTCCTTTAGTAAAGCATTCTCCTTTTCGAGCTCTTCCGTATTCTGCAACGTAAATAAAATTCAAACAAAAAGTTGAAACTGACAAACTCTTGACCACCACAACAGGCCTTTATTGATTTTCCAAAGTAATCACGGGTCTGTTTTGGTTTTGAGCTTGCTAAACCGAGTCTCAAAGCAGTAAGAAGATCATACGCAAACTGAAAATTACGTCACAACTTCCTACAAGATCCCATTTAGATGGTTCAGAAGTAGCCTAAGAGAACATTTCAAAATAACGCTTACAGCTGATCCCTCCAGTTCCTTGAGTTTCTCCTTGAGAAACTGGTTTTCTTCTTCGAAGTCTTCCACACCCTGCAGAGACAGAGTTTCCAGAGAATATTGCCATTTTAAATATACTTAAGCTATCAGCTGCATACATGGTAAATACATCTTACCAAATGGTTTGCTATGTAATGTCAACGTATGTTGTTCACCTCTTCTTACCAAAGCACAAAGAACGCAGAAAACGAATGCAATTATCATTTAGTAAGCTATTTTAACTCTCGTAGACTCTCGTAGTCGTGTAGGGGAGGCGATAAGAGCCCCACCTTCTTCCATCCCCGCTTTTTGTCTCCCTCTCCCTCATTTTAAGTCTGCTACCTAGGCTGTGACTCTCCCAAATCGCGAGCAAGATAGAACTCCAAGCACTCTGTTAAGAACATTTATGGGTAAGTCAACGTGCGGCACTGTTTACTACGCGCTAAACATTGATCAATGGACTTACTTTCGCACTTTCCAGAGTTTGCACTTGCTTCCTGAGCAGTTCATTTTCTTCTTCAAGCTCTTTCCAACTCTAATAGAAAAAAACCCGCACGTTAACACAATCATCAGTTTGTTGTCAGTCGAGTAACGTTGCCCAAGTTTTAATCATTGCGCCGCCGATTAATTCCACAAAAACACAACGTGAACGGATGAATGAAGCCCTGTCCACACTTGGATGGAGAAATTTGAAAACGCAGATTTATTTCTACGGTTAGGCCTACCGTCCACACTAATCCGTCATGAAAACTCAGATTTTCGAAAACGATCTTTAAACCAGAGGAATTTGAAAACGCCGGCTTTGCGTTTTAGCGTGGACGGAAAACATTTTGAAAACGGAGCTTTTCGAAAACGATGACGTCACGATAGTCATGATATTCCCTGCCCGAATTTTTCTCAAACACAAATCCAAATTGACCGGTGATTGTTGCGTTTTCAAATTTCTCCTGCGAAATGTAGACGGAGAACATTTGATGCGTTTTCAGAGTGAAAACACCGTTTTCAAATTTGTCCGTCGTAGTGTGGAGTCACGAATGTCTGAAAAGGACAAGCAATCTATTTCTTGTCGAACAGTACAATACGTCTGTACCAATAATTATTATAAATGAAGCTTATTATCCAACTGCAGCGAATACCGTCCAAATAACAGTACAAAAATATACAGTGATATTGTTCAGGAGAAATCGTGTTTGCCATATTTGTACAGTAGAAAACCTGTTTGCCGTACAGGTCGGCGCGCGCACGCAAAACTGTCAAACTCTCCCTCTTTCATTGACAAATTTATTTACTACAGCAGTTGGATAATAAATCTGTTATTAGATGTTTTGGTGTGTAGTGTCGCTGTATATTTTTACTTGCTGTTTGTATTTTGACTTGCCCTACGGGCTCGTCAAAATACGGCACAACTCGTAAAAATATACAGCGATACTGCACACCAAAACATCTGATAGGATATATATATTTCCTAATATCCAACCTTGATATATTCTGCTCCTTCAATACCGCCATCATCCATTTCTCTTCTCAAGGCCATCAGATTCAGCAGCTCAGAATCCTTTCTCTCCTTTAAGAACCGGTCAAACCGGTTTACAGCACTGCTATCACGTGGCATGTCTGTTAAAACGTCCCTTTCCTCACTGTCGTTAGGAAGGTTGACTGATTCATCTGTTCTGTTGAACACACTGTCACTTTCATCTTGAGAGGTGAACAGTGGAGTATCAGCTGGGGAAGAAAACGAACAGAGTTAAAACAAAAATTGTGATGGCAGTTCAACAGAATTATCATAAAAGTACTGCAGATAGAACTAATGGGAGTAAGAACTACGAGTAAGAATATCCTCAAAGCTCTCAGAACCTTGGAATATTGACATTGCATGTCTATCAGTGTCAGGTTCTGAGACATTCACAATTTGGCTATCACATTTGCTCTTCTGGCGAACGGCCATATTATAATTCAACATTCTTTTTTCGTCGTTTCGAAGTGATGGTAAAACTTTCAACATTTTTAGTGGCGTAAATGATAATTTTCGTTCCAGTTATCCTCAGGATGTGACAACGACCCTCTCCTTACAGAAACCTGCTTTTAACAGGTCATAGTCGTATTCTCGGTATTGGACTGGAACTAGCTTGCAATGGAGGCTCATGCGGGGAATATCATTAAAAAGAGATAAATGTCATTCGCATTTGAAAAGACTCCCCGCATTAGCCTCGGTTTCAAGCTAGTTCCAGTCCAATAACGGGAATACGAAAATGGTCAATTGACAGTTTACTCCTTCCCAGTGAAGCCAAAATTCATATCATGTTCATCTCTATTTAACAAATGGTAAACGCCATAGCGTGTACTATTGAGTTATGGATGCACGCGGGAGGTTGCTAAGCACGAAGGAAGCGTAAGAGTCGCACGAGGCGATAGCCGAGTGCGACTCTAGCTTCTTGAGTGCTTAGCAAACCTCCCAAGTGCATCCATAACTC